AACTCTACGAAAAGGCAAAGTACGTGTTGGTCTGGCTCGGCAACGAGTGGGCTCCTGCTTCGGTGCTTGCTTTGTACAAGGGTGTTCCGAGGGCGAAGAACGATCAGAAGCGAGGTGAGCGCCGCCGCAGAACGTAAATCTGAAGCGCGGGAGATCCAACCCTGCGTCTCAACTTACACCGCTTTTGCAGGTAAAATACCTCCCGTCCTCTCACTGACGCCCCCATCACAGACCTAGACCCAACCCTCCTCTCCAAAATCCAACGCGCACCCTACTGGCTCCGCGTCTGGACCCTCCAGGAAGCAACTTACAGCAATGCCTTCATCCTCTGCCTCGACGGCGGGGGCGAAGCCCTCTCCACCATCCTCCAGAACTGGGGCGACGCCCATAAAAGTCACCCGGACCCGAACCAGCTCGCCATCAACATGCGTCGGAAAATCATCACGGACGTTTCTACTACGACTGCTACTACTGCGGATGTTGCTGTGAATGCCGCAGATGCCGACGAGCTGCGAGAAGCGGCGGAGATTGCTGCGCGCCGCGGGAAGTTGGATGTCTACCAGCTCAGAATGCTACTGTACTTACAGGCTACGGAACCCCGTGACAAAATCTACGCCCTACGATCTATATTCCCAGAGACCTTTGGAAAAGTAGCGGTCGACTACACGGATCCCGTAGGAAAGGTTTACCGTGAGGCGACGAGGCAGCATATCCTGGGACAGGACAGTCTCACCCATCTCCTCCTCCTCGATGGAGGAAACACCTCGCCATCAACATCAACAGCAACATCAACATCAACAACGACAACAAACACTTCTCCTCCAGCCCCAGACCTCCCCTCCTGGGCCTTAGACTGGAACAAACAAACCACAGACGGCAGAATCCTCCTCGACGTCCCCTCATCTTCCTCCCGCAGCAGCAAACCCTCCTACAGATTCTCACCCGACGCACACACGCTCTACCTCAAAGGCAGGAGCGTCGCGCGCGTAGGCGACAGGATCAGCCCCAAACTCCCATTATTCGACCTATCCTTTGTCCTAGCAGACAAAAAGCAAGACTTCATCGCCTGGGTAGGTGACGCCAGACGTGTCTCCCAGGCCTTCCTCGCAGACATCTTGTCCCCGCCGCCCATCGACGCAAGCAAAGAAACTCAAGAAAACGCACTTGAAACCTTTCGCAGCATCCAAGCCCTCCTCGTGCGCATCCTCCGCGCAAACCCACGAACGCAACCCGATGCCGCCTCCTTGACCGCGGTCTCCACACCTTCAGCACTCGCAGAGGCAGTAGCGTCACAGACACCGCCCGCCTGGTTGAAGATAGGCAACATCACCGCGGCTATGGGCTCTGGCTGCATGTTCCTCACCACTCACAACTACTTTGGGTTCTGCGTTTCGGAGCCGCAGCCGGGAGATGAGATCTGCGTCTTTTCGGGGCTAGATGTCCCGTTCGTCGTTCGGTCGAGGGGGAGCGGGGGGTATGTAGTCGTCGGGTATGCGGTCGTCGACGGGGTCATGGACGGAGAAGCGTGGTCTGATGACGAGGGCGAGTTGGCGGAGTGGGCGTTGGTGTAGGTGCTTGACGAAGCGTCCCGTCAAACCTCCAGAACCGGGACCATGAATTCAACCCAGGACACCCAGGAATGGGGCATCTCAGGCAGGATCCCCAAATAAACACAGGAAAAGAGCCAGACAGAAGGGTAAACAAGGCATTACATATACCCATCTCCCCGACCCCAAGCCCGGTCCTCCCGGAATCGGCACCGGCAGTCCGCACCACTTACTCAGCGCCACCCCGGCGGATCCACCAGAAAACATAACCTTACCTTAGCTTCGGACTCAACAATCTCCTCTCCAAAGTCCGAATATCTCGATCTTCGATCCCCCATTTACCCATCTCCCCCTTTCCTCCACCTCCTCTTGAGCCCCAGCTAAGCCTAGGCCAGGATATGCTTCCGTGTTCCCCCTTGCATATTACATCCGTACGGTCCGTACCCGGTCTTAGGAGGGCGGTCAGGCCACAAACCATTCTCTAATTTCGTCTCAACGTCGTCAGTCCGGGGGTGATCACATCAGTGGACTCCATACGGAGAATAGTTTAGACTCTCTGGCGTGTGCAGGTTCCCCAGAGCCAGCGATCTGGGTTATGTTAATGTCATCTCGATCACCACGTGGTTCCGTTTCTTCAGTTCTGGAAATAGCCTGGGGGGTTTGTTACTGCTGCACCGTACCGTATTGTACGGTGGTCAACATGATGTCACCCATGGAAATTTCACTACAGTGACAATATATGTAAGGTCATGTCGTAGAATGAATATATGAACAGTTGAACATTAAGACAGCAGACAGCTTTTATCTAGTCTATGAAAATAACCCTCCAACGCCGAAACAATGCATTGATGCTGTGTCTAATGCAGGGCGCTCTCGCCCGTCTCCGCCATGAACTTTTGGCAGTTGAGAAGTGTACGTAGCTGATCGCTGACCTCCTCGAGTCTTCCAATGACCTTTTTGTTGCCGTCAACGAAACCCAAGATGGAGTAAGGGATGCCGGTATCCTTGCAGAACTCCTTGACAAAGACCTGCGCCTTGCGGAGATTGTGTCGCGGGACGCGCGGGAAGAGGTGGTGCACGGCCTGGAACTGGAGACCGCCGTGGATGAAATCCAACCAGGCGGGGCAGTCGACGTCCATGGTGGTTCGAAGCTGTCGCTGGGCAAAGGACTCGGACTCGCCAAGGTCCGAGGTGGACATGCCCCAGTGAGACAGAGTAATCTGAACATGCAGAGGCATAGTGATAATGTGAGAGACCAGGACGAAGGCGACGCGGATGGGCCAGGTGGGAAGGGTGTTGAGAATCAGACGCCAGCCAAAGATGTACCAGAAGCAGGCCATGAAGGCGATCTCAGTCGGGCGAATCCACCAGGCCTTGGAGGCACCCAGGGAGGAAGATCTGCGGGACAGGACGTGAAGCCAGGAGAGAAGGTAGAGGTTGAAGCGAGCGATGCCCATGACGGGGTAGTAGGTGTACGCCTGGTACTTGGCGAGAACGTCGGCAGCGGCATCCCAGACGAAGACGAAGCCGTCGTAGTAAGTCGACTTGATGGACTTGAAGAAAGAAGGGCAGGTAGCGAAGAGAGGGACGTTCTGGATATCGGGATCGTGCTCCTGAGGCGTGTTAGTTACGTAGATCGAGACGTGATGGATAATATGGAAGACTTACAGGCTGGTTGGTAATGAGATGGTGGACATTGTGACTGCTCTTCCACCATCCCATAGAAAGGCCGCAGCAGAAGTCGGCAACAAAGAGACCAATGAGGGTGTCAAAGGTAAAGTTGTGGGTGATGGCTCCGTGTCCAGCGTCGTGGGCAGAGAACATGATCTGATGCCAGAAGAGACCCAAGAAGCAGGCCGAGGTCATGTACCACTCATAGTGCAGAGCAGTGAGGAAGAGGGCGAACAGAGTCGAGTATCTGCACATCTCCTTGCCATAGTCCAAGTAGGGGCAGTCGTAAAGACCAGCATTCTTGATACGCTCATGGAGCAGGCGGTACTTTTCCTGGATATCGCGCTGAACGGCAGGGTCGAGAGAAGGGTACTCGTCGAGATCCTTGTTGATGTTCTGTTGGATGGACCACTCGGTGTACTGGTCGGCGGTCATGCGGCTCCGGCCCGACAGACCGGGGCCGGCGGCGAGGGCATCGTCGGTTGGGTCTGCAGGTGCAGCAAGACGACGTCTAATGCCCGTCTCAGTCTGGGGCTCGGGCTTGGTCTCGACCTCTGCACTGCTGCATTCGGAAGTCAGGGACGTGCGGGAGCTCCCGCCAGATACATCGGAGACGGCATCGTCGGCGGAGTCATCTTCATCGAGATCGGACGAGGGGCAGTCGACGGCAGCGTCCGTGGCATCATCTGCAGTAGCACCGGCAGCGTTGGGTGCAGATGCGGGTGTTGTGGTCTCTTGCTTGGTGTAGACGCCGCCCCTAATTGGTGGTGTCATGTTGATCCAGGGACCCGCAGGTTTCCGGCCGATCCGAAAGGCCTTCATGGTGTTGAGTGTGGCAGCCGAATGGTACCTGTCAAAAGCGATATGTCAGCACACTAATTCCACTTAACGCATCAACATCGGAGTCCGAATGTCCAGCGAATCCGAAATATTAATTGGCCCTTTCCCCCTTCTCCCACCATTTGGACCATGTGGGAAAATAAGCTTAACCAGACTGCTGATTATATCTCAGTCGCTTTCGCATTCCCGGATGCTTCTTTTTTCCCGACGTCCCACCCCTTTTCAGATTATTTATCCGAACCCGCGGGAATGATGGGGGCACGCCGCATAAGGGTCCAGATTCGGAGGGGGTTCTCAGCCTCAAGCTGAAGATGGTGGGAGGGGGGCAGATGTGATGCACCCAAAGGTTAATTGGACATGGAAGGTAAGTCGAGCCTCTTACACTTTGATCTCATCGGTCGCATCTCTTCCAACCATGTGCAGGATAGCCAACTGGCCACCAGGATGCTTGCCCATCCACCCGTCGAGGCGAAGAACCATTTCGTCAAGAATGACAATTGTGCGTCCATCTGCAATCATGCCCTCCACCTCGCGGGGGGTGATGATTCTGCTATCACGATCCATTTTCGTAATTGTATGGATCGTTTCGTTATTCGATTAAGAAATTTGCGCTGTGTAGCCAAATTTCGGATTCGTCGAAAAAAGAAGGATCGACGATTTCTTATTTGGTGGGTGGTGGTGACGAGGTTTCGTCAACGTGGTGAATTCGAGAGGGTGACTGCTGGAAGGCAGGAAGGGAAGGTGCGGTCGAACTTGGCCCAACGAACACAAAACCCCAATCGAACTCAGATTATCGCCACACAGTTGCGTACAAGGTCAACAGGCAGTTGAGGTCCAGTCGCAAGAGGGTAGGAAGAAGAAAAGGGAAGAGTCGGTTCGGTGGTGAACCTGGGTAGGTGATGGTGATGCGCCGGGGACGAACTGGCTGGTCGAAGGTGGGTGATGCGGTATTTACGTATTATCGACCTTGGCTTGCTTGGGGGGGTGGGCTGGCTGGCGGCAGGCAAGATGCGCGGTGACAGGAAAGCTTCAGGACCCTGTCGGACAGCTTTCGGTTCGAGATGGCGAGAAAGAGAATTTACGGCAAAGGCGAAGCAGTCGACACTCGTGCCATTTTCAGATGAGAACAGACGACATGGACATGACCTGGGAATTAGGAAGATGGAGGGGGGGCAGGCTCTGGATAAAGGGCAGAACAAACGAGCAAGAGTCAAGAGAGAGAGGGACGGGAGAGACAAGAAACGGGCAGACGGGACAACGGGCCAACGTAACAGGGCGACGGGGGGTGTGAGGTGAATGGGATAATACTGGATGGATGGATGGATACGGATACTGGGGGGAGGAGGAGGAGAGACGAGACGAGACGAGAACGTGAGAAGAAACGTGGATGGAAAGGAGCAACGCAACAGGCAAGCCGCAAACCAGCTCCATCCAGGAGAGAGAGAGAGAGAAAGAGCAACAACCAGCACCAGCAAAAGCACCACCAAGAAAGTACACCAGACGAGACGAAGCAAGCGGCGGCGGCAAAGATGCCAGGGACGGTACGGTACCTACTCCGTATACCCCGTGGCTCATCCCCGTACGAGACTACGAGTAACGAGGAGCAAGCAGGTCGTGCAGTGCGTGGAGCGTGGAGCGTGGAGCGAGGCGAGGGTGCCCAGGTAAGGTGGTTCTTCAAAAGATTTGTGGATCATTTTTTTCCATTGCATCCACACCCACTTGGTTTCTTGGATTCACCACCAAGAGTCAACCCACTGCCACAAGTGTGTGCGGGCTACTGCTGCTGCTGCTGCTGCTGGTGTCGCTACTACTCATAGTGTGAGTGTGAGAGACTACCGTCGGTCAAGGACAGCTTGTCTTCGATTTAGGCAGGTCGAAACAGTGCGCGTGGGTTCTTGTGGGAGGTGCAAGTGACTGGATGGGGACGGGATGGATATGGGGGATTGGGATTAGGATGGGACATGGGCCATGCCATGGGCCATACCATGGGCCAAGGGTGAGAGAAACTGTGGACATGGAGACATGACATGGTGCAGGGGGGCGGAGGGGGAAACCGATGGAGAGACTCTCTCTCTCATCATTGAGATGCAAGAAAGTAGTCTTTCCAATCTCCCCGACTAGCTTCCCACTCCCAGATGTCCCGCCAAGACAAAAAGGAACCGAACATCAGCCAGGTTGTGGTGGTTGTGGTTGCAGCCAAGGTATCGGATTGCTGTGCCTACAAAGTGGTGTAGGTAAGGTACTCTGTGTGTCTGTATGCGCGATGGCGTAGCTGTGTGGACATGGCAATCAGACATGTGGTGAGTGAGTAAAAATGAAAGAGGTATGAACAGGTAAGGAGAAAGCTAAACAAACAAAAATGTCTGTGTGTATGAGATTCGACGCTGAAAATGCAGGGCAGAATGAATGACAGCGAGTATTCGTATGGGTACGCAGAGGTACGCAGGTACGAATACGTACGAATAATGGTATGGACACATACGCGCAAGTTTGCAAAGAAAAAAAGATTGACAGAATGGAAATGGACGCGCCCAGCTCATTCACGGCCAGGCCACACCCCTCCCCATCTGCCAATCTTGTTTCCCGAATCCCCCCCTGATCCAATGTAGTAAATTGGCCGTTGGCGCTTTCGCTAGCCCCGGGGGCGCAGCTTGTTGCGTTGCTGCTCTTCTCTTTCTCGCCTCTTGGGAGCTTGGGGCCACCGGGCTTGCTGGAGAATGGGGGCTGGGCTCTGCAAGGTGCAACTATGCATTGGCCATTTGCCTTTGCCTCAGCACACGGCAGATAGCAGACGAGAATAACAGACGAATGACTCTAGATTGAAGCAATTGTAAGAGATTTACGAAGAGTGAGACTCGAAAATCAAACAAGATGGGCGTGTACCGGGGTGAGCGAGGATGGAAGGAGAAAAAACTTAAAGAAGAAAAAAGGAGAAGGAGCTTATCTGATTGACACCAGTTGACCTTGCGCCGGCGGGGGGGCCTGGGCTGGGCAGTGGGAGCCTTGACAGGACCCTGAAAGGCTGAAACGATGAATATTGGGGTCCTTCTCAAATCAGGCACTTTTCCAATGTTGGAGAAGGCGGTGGATTCTGCCATTCTGGAAGGTCATTCCTTGTCTTTGCCTCCCTACCATTGGACCCGAAGACGGTACGAAGTGCGCGGGTGGTGAGCGGTGCGCAGTGCGCGTATTACCTGAACATCACATCCATCACGGTCGACATGGAGAACCGTGACGGTCACCGGAACACGGCTGAGGAAAACTGAGGAAAGAGAAGAGCTCCTTGGGACCTTCCACTATTCAAACCTTGGGGGCTCTTGAGTGGGTGAATAGGTAGCTTGGCAGGGAAGGAAGGACCGTACTCGATACGGAGGGGCGGGACCACCTTGGCAGGAAGTACGCACTTCAGTACGCGGGTGCAAGTGCGCCGCAGGCTAAACTGTTGCAACGCAATTGCCCAGTTCTCCATTCTCCAGACTTGCTGCACCTTCCAGGTTTCTGGGGCCTCGCGTTGCCCTTTCCCTCATTCACCTAAGCTCCTTCCCAAGTCACTTTCCAACAGGCTAAGACTAGGCAAGACCAAGACCAAGACCAAGCAAGTGCACCCCTCCGAAGACTTGGCAGCCGCACACAGACACTTTGGCATTTCGCACCACGCACCTCGCAAAGAGTGGAAGAAAGGAAAGAGCGAAGAAAAACAAGTTGGCAAGAGTCAAGAACCCCCAAGAACACGCGTCTTGAGTGGGAAGCGCGCCAGAAAAGAATGGAGAACAAGTGGGACGAGGACCCAGGACCCTTGAAACTCAATTCCACCGTCCCGCGAAGAGACACCAAGGACACATTGACACAAAGACGGCACCTGCTCTGAGAGAGACGGGAGAGACTAGGAGTGTGGCGATTGTGCTGGGAATGCCCTTTTCTCCCATCGAGCCTTGACTCTTGAGTCTTGACTAGTGTAGAACCGAGAACCCCTCATACGGCAGATCCGTCTCCATGGTTGAGTCTTGAATGACAAGTGCATGTGTGGGTGGGAGAGTGAGAGGAGAGTCTGGAGTCAAAACTTGACCCAGGTTTTGAACATGCGATAGAATGTTTCTGGAAATGCCGCTCAAGCTCTGGCTAGACCTCCCACCATGTCTCGACTCTTTCTACCTTAGTCTTGGGGGAGCCTTGGCCTGGTTTGTGTGTGTGTGTTTGTGTCGCAGTCTTGGTTGGAGCGGCTGTTTGAATCTTTTGGCCCAATCCAATTGTCTCGTCTCTTGGTTTTCTTGGTTTTTCTTTGACCTCTGATTGCACATGGCAACTTGGCAAGCCGCAAGACCTCAAAGGGAACTGTTTCCCTCGGCTACTGTACGCGGTCAAATTCAACCCCGTCCACCTTGGTCGCTTGCCCCTCCCTGGTCCTTCCTTCCCCGTGCGAGGTGGTGCCAGGTGGTGGCTCATTTAGCGAGCCGAGCTGTTGGGGCGGAACCAGACGAAATTGGCCCGAGGGAAATGGCGCGCCTGTCAAGGCAGCGCCGCAGGGGAGGGAGGGGCAACTTGGGCAATGGCAAGCCAAGGGGGGGTTCGGAACTTGAAAAGCCACAATGCGATAGCATCCGTTCGAAATGCGAACGTGCTTTGATCCTCCAAGTCCTATGACCCACCGTTGATAACGAACTCAACGTACGGATACCCGCGGGAAGATTAATTGATGAAGGACAGACATCATGTTACAATCCGAAATAAACGCAACAAAAAGATGATGGACGGGTGGCCAAGTGGGGGCATCCCGCAAACCGAGGTATGGAGCAGAAAGACGGCAAGAACGACCAGAAGCAAACTCAGGAAGCAGCAAGTAGCAAGCTGCGAAAACGGGAAACACCGTAATCATCCAATGGCCAGGCTCCAGCCTCTTGGCTAACGGAAGTTTCCCCTTGGCGCCGCCGACTGCGCCTCGCAAAGACCCCACAAAACGTCAACTGCGAACCCGAAGCGGGAGGGGATTGATGGGTGGCGCCGACTTCCTCTAGTTCCTACCATGCGGCATGCCTCTATCTACCATCTACCCGCGGTTTCTCTACTACCTGAGGTAATCTATACTGCTCATCTATCTAACCTCACATCACGGCACTCTATCATCTACCAGCAGGATGTGCTCGTGCTGCGTGAGAGGTGGTTCACCGATGGTCACAAATCTCGTTCCAATTTAACCTCCTAATTGAGCGTCATGTCGCAGCAATAGCCAAAAAACCTAGCCGCTGGGGTACTCCGCGCTCGTCCTATCTAACTTTTTCATTTGCTTCCCTATTTTATCTCGTTCCGTGTTTGCGAGACGAATGAGACGAGGCACACAACACACGCCAAACAATTGGCATCCCATCTCTTCGGGTACACATAGGTAGGTGACTTTTTTCCCTGCAGGCTGGCTGCACTGCACTTGCTGCAGGCCTTCCATTGCGGGATGGTGGCTGCATCCAATCACCCTACACGGTGCACCTCCATCAGCAACATCAGCAGGTTCCTTATAGAGGACCAAGCTGTGCTATGTGCGTCTTTTTTTCCCCCGATTCGTTTCTATTCGGCAACAAGAGTTTCCAGACTTTTACCACCGAGCTCGTGCCAGCCAGCCTTCCAGCGCCTACCTAGCGAGAGAGTCAGCTCGGAAATAGCGCTCAGCTGAGTATCTCGTAGCCGAGGTGTGTGTACCTAGGCCTTAAGCCAGGTGGTGGTTGTTGGCTGAATCGCTTTTTGCCGTCTCACCTATCCGATATCCCGGCACGGTGACGCTGCATGTGCTGCTGCTGCTGCAGCGCAGCAACACCAAGATTGAATTGAAGAAGCGGGAGCGGGCTGGAACTGGAACAGCTGCCATGCCTGTCATCCCAGAAAATCTATACAACTTCGAAAAGGAACCCCACTTAACAGCCACGACTAAGGACCGGGGCCCAGGGGTGTGGTGAGCGAAGCGGAAGTCAGCAAGGAAAATAGGTGCGAGCCTGGCGACGTGCCATCGCCAATGGAGTGCCGCAGGAGAAAAATGTAGGTACCCGGAAGCAAGGCCGCGTACGTAATATCCCGTATCCATGTTCGAGACCGTTGAGTGGCACAGTCTGTCATGGGGCTCGCCCGTCCGCGGATTCAGAACAAATTGATGGGAAAGGGGAGGGATTTGGGGTCATCAGGGAGAGGGGAAGGACTTCTTAGGAGGGGTGGGGGCGTCGTATGGATACCTACGCAGTAACGGATACAACCATTCGGCCAATTCTGCCAACTCCCAAGAATATCTCAGAAAAGTGGTACGGCCAGACGACGATCCCTATGCAACTTTTCAAACTTCCTAGCTTCCGTTCACCGTCTCGGATCTTTTGACACTGTGGATAGCCACATTCGATGGAGAAGAGAAAGAAAGAAAGCAAAGGGGAGGGAAATAGCGTCATTGGTGTCGCAAGTCGGCTTGGATTCCCATTGAAGCCATAAGCTAGACGGACAATCAAAAGTGGGATGTTGCAGGAACAACACAAGACGATCCGAATAGGCGGCATGCAGAAAAGGCTGATGCGCAGTTGGAAAGCGCAAATCCCATACGCGTGATACGACCGAGGGAGGCAAAGGAGGGTTGGCAATACGCAATAGCGGAGACTAGCAGAAAGGGGTTTGGCCGTTCCGTCTGGCAAATAGCCCATAGATCCATGATGATGTTCATCAATGTTCATCATTCTCTTCAGCTCTTATGCCCCCTCTCTCGACTACTCACAGGCTCGTGGCCCATTGGCTGTACAGGACTTGCTGGCATGCTGGCTCCAGCCTTTCTGTCTCGTCCACTCCTGCTGATCAACTTGATTCTAACGAGTTGTACTCCGTAGACTGTGAGGCAGTTCCAGCGGCGTCATCTACCATAGTAATTCGGATGGGTTAGGGGGCCGCGGGCATGGCATTGGCGTGCGAGCTACGGGAAGCTACTTGAGGCTAGAGCTTTTCTGCCACTTTGGAGACAAGTTGGAGAAAGACATGCGCGATGGCACCTAGACATGCCAAATGCCAGCCTTTGAATCTACGCTTTTCCCAGCGTGGGATTGGCGCGCAGAGGTTCGCGTGCTGGATACGACACTAAACGTGGTTTCTGGGCCTGGACCCAGAATCCCGTCCGATTGAGATTCGACTCTGGACGGACCAAGATCAAGGGGCCTGGGATCTCCACTCGGTAACGGTTTGATTGGCTTTCCAGCAACGGCTTTCCTTTGCCCCGGTCACGAGCTCTCGGATTAACTCGCACTATCCCTCGTGGAGCTCGGATTATCCCCCGCTGACTCTTTCCATTCTATAGGTACCTAGCGCTCCATTCTAGACAGCTTCAGCCTCAGGCATAACCTTGTCTCTCCCTGGACGTTGAGCCTGCTGACTAAGGTTTCAAGCTGTTTCGGTCGCCACCGCAGCTGGTCGTCATTTTTCCCTCACGCACACCGAATCGCCCCGGCCGAGTCGTCTAATAACTGGTTATCACGGCACGGCCGACATCTACGTTTGGCAAGATGAAGCGCAATGTCCCCCAAGAAAAAAAGTGTTCTCGAATCATTGCATCCTTCATTCCGATACCCGAATTGACTCATCTGCTCGCCGTTTGACAATCTTCTCACTGCAAGAAACAATACATACATCAGATGGACGAAAAAACCGTACTGCCGTGAAACTAAAGCTGACTCGGCCAAGAAACAATCGGCCTTCGTCCGAGTCACGTGGAGTAAGATCTGTTGTCATCCCGTCTCCGGTTTGGGACGAAAAGCATGTAAGATTCAGACGCGGGCAGATACCAATTCCGTTTTGTTTTGCCTCACATCAAGACGATCCGGGAGAGGGTGTACCAAAGATCCAGAACAAAGAGCAAAAGGCAAAATCCCGTCGGAACGAGCTGTACGCGCGAAGATAAGCAAAGTTTGAATCTGCATTATCACCGAGTTTGCCAAAATAGCATCCATCTAGTCATCGTTGAAGGGGAGAAACCCTTCCCTCCCGCGGAGGCCAGGGTCTCCACTTCCATCCAGGCCCTCACCTCACGGAACCGGATACTTGGTAGTGAGCGGCATCGGACCGATCACCGACGGCACCTTCAGTAAACCCCGGGTCCCCGAACAAGATAAACCCAGTGCCAAGTTGCACCCCGCGCTCCGCCCACCATGTCCGCGTATGAGCCTGAATGCGAGCACAGGTACGACTACGAACCGCTCTCATCCACAGGCACCGGCACCAGCGGTGGCGGTAACGACAACGACGCCTTCAGGCTGCTCCTCCTCGAGCCCTCCGCCGCCCGCGCAGACCAACTCAGGGGATCCCTACGCAACACCACCCTCGCCGAGTGCGACTACGACCTGATCGACCCGTACACAGCCCTGTCGTACGTATGGGGCACCTCAGAACGGGCATGTCGGATCCGACTCGTCGATGGCGGCGGCCGTGAGCACCTCTTTGCAATCACAGCCTCGCTCGACGACGCCCTGCGCGACTTGCGCGACCCCACGCGCGTGAGGAGGGTCTGGGCGGACGCCCTATGCATTGATCAGGATAACGTCGACGAGCGCAACGCCCAGGTGAGATTGATGGGGCAAATCTACTCGACTGCCCACAGCACCGTCATCCACCTCGGCCACCTCACGCCCGACGTTACTGAAGTGTTTTCGGTACCCCGTGATTTCGCCCCCGAGCCCGGCACGGATAACGGTGAAAGTACCGCCGTCGCCGCGATAGGAGAAGGGGGGCCTTGGAGCTTGCTGTCCAAGACATGGTTTGAGCGCGTCTGGGTCTTTCAGGAGCTTGTCCTATCGAGAGATCCCTGGGTCCAATGCGGCAGCAGACGAATACGATGGCGCGAGTTCTGCGCCTTCTTCCTCGGCGCCGCAGGCAAAGGCTCATCACCAAGGGCGCAGAACGACGAAGAGAGGCGGCGCGTCTTGGCGGACATGAACGCGAGCTGGGCCAGCCAGTCGAGGCTCCCTCTTCACCGCGCCATCAAGGCGCGCAGAGGCCTGGGCGCCACGAACCCGGCCGACTTTGTCTACGCCACGTTTGGCATCATCAGTGATCTCGGGACTGTTGAGCAGTACCTACAGATCGACTACAACATGTCGGTCGGTCGTACCTTTGGCAAAGTTGCCCAGTACATGTTTTACGAGCTTGGTATTGAGCAGATGGTATTTCACGTAGACGATGCTCCCGCTTCGAAACGAGTAGACGGCCTTCCATCCTGGGCACCCGATTGGAATCTCGAAGCTTCGTACACCAAGAAGAATCCGCTCTGCATGATCCAGGACAACAGTTTGGATCACATCAGAGTGAAGAAGGAGGTCCATCATGCCTTTACCCAGTCTTCAAATAGTGATCTGCCGCTCGTTATGGGGCACATTGGCATGAAGGTTGACAAAATCAAGCACGTCAGCTGCGTGATGCCTTCTGGCCTGCAGACTTCGTACCTAACTACAGACTACGACACCGCGAGATCGGAGTTGATGGGTATGTATAGAAATGCCTACGCCTCGGGTGACAGGTTCGGTCAATATCGACACGTTCCGCTCAAGGGCAAGGAAGCGGAGCATGAGCGTCTTTGCCGGGTCGTCGGTACTACCTGGGCCGGAGCAGTCGAGAATTCCCACAGGCAGTCATCCGTTTTCGGTGACCAGACGGGAAAAGGAGACACCGGCTTTCTCGAAGCTCTCGAAAGTTGGCTGACCTCTGAAGCGAGCAAGAAGCGCGAGTTCGTGGGCTCAGGCACAAACGGCGTCATCAAGCGCCTCTACGGCTACTTTGCCCGGACAGGTGGCGACTCCGACCTTGAAGGCAGGCGATTAGCCTCTACGGAAGGGGGCAGGATGAGTATCGTGCCGGCGCAAGCTTCGGCGGGGGACGTGATTGCGTATCTTGTAGGCAGTAACACACCCGTCGTGCTTCGCTCAAGGGATGCTGGGGTTCACGGACCAGAGATTGAACATGTGTTGCTGGAGTCTCTGAGACAGCCTGGATGCGGCGTTGTCACGATGACGAACGAGCAGAAGGAGGAGGAGTTGTGGAGGGTTCCTAGGCAAGGTGAGTTCGCGGCCGAGCACTTTTCGGTCATCGGGGAGGCGTATCTTGATGGGCATGTGGGCTGGGCTTTGAAGTATCTGCCTAAAGAGTCTGATATGCGGATCTTTGCACTGCACTGAGTTGTGTGAGCGAGACTAGCTAGCGGCGATACCCACGCATTCATAATGCTGCTTCCTGGTGCAAAGCGGTTTTTTCTATTAGGCAATACTCAAGACTTCTCTGAACCTGTTGACCCCCGCTCAAAAGAACCAAAACACAACGATTTGGGTATCGTAACATATTCAAGGACTCGACATCCACCAAGGCCTAGTACCGGCCCGTCATCACGATCGAAAGCAAATTCTTTGCCTTATCCTCCCCTTATGGCCGCCTCCCAGTGCGGCGCATTAAGAATCAACGCCATCAACGACCCCGAAAACAACGCAGACACAGGCACGGTAATAAACCACCCAAAATAGATCCACGCCACGAGCCGCGGGTTAATAGACCGCCAATCCCCGTTCGCCAACCCGACCCCAACCGTCGCGCCGGCAATACACTGCGTAGTCGACACAGGCAGCGCAAGCTTCGTCGCCATCATCACCACCACCGCACTCGCGAGCTCCATGCAGAACCCCCTACTCGGCGAAATCAGCGTCAGCCTGTTGCCCAGGTTCCGCATGACGTGGTACCCGTACGTCAACAGGCCCAGCACGATGGCCCCGCCGCCGAAGCAGAGAATCCACACCGGCACTCCCACCGACGTCTCGATGCCCCCCGTGCGCCAGATGTCGTAGGCTGTCGCGAAGGGCCCGATGCTGTTGGCCACGTCGTTTGCGCCGTGGATAAAGCTCGCGGCGGAGGCGGTCAGGATCTGGAGGGCGCTGTACATGTGTTCTGCGCGGTTGTCGTAATGCGGGGCGCGGGCGTGCATGTCGGCGATGTCCCAGGAGAGGACGGCGTTGCGCTTTTGCGTTGTGATGACGTCTTGTTCTAGGCCGCGGAGGAGGATGCGGTTGAGGTGCCAGGTGAGGACGGGGAGGCTCGTGTTGGGTCCTGGCGGGCGAGGCGGGATGTGTTCTGAAGTAGAGGAGTAGGAGGATGAGGAGGGCCGGCGGGTGGTTTCTGTCAAGGCTGATGTTGTCGATGTTGCTCCTGGGGTTTGAGGGGGTCCGAGGACTGGCGGCGAGAGGATGGGTTGGTCGTCTTTGAAGAGGTCTGAGGGCGTTTGGCTGCTTTGAATTGATTCTAAGAGGGTTTCCGATGCTCTTACGTAGGCGAGCTCGTCGGCCGTGAGGTGACCGCGGTAGTAGTCCTTGACGTTGACTCTTCGTACTCCGGCTGGAGGTAGTGGTGGTGGCGGCCGGTTAAGGAGCCAGGGGCCCTTCCACATCATGAGCCAAGTGAGCTCCCAGTCTTCGTTAACAATCTTCCGCCAGAGGTAGGGCAGGAGAAAGAAGGCTTGAAGGAGCGTTGCGCCGGTGGCGACGGAGAAGACTGCAATGAGGACTTGAGTTGCTGTGAGTTCAACCTGGAGCTGGACGCCTTTCCAAGCTACGAGCACTGTTCAGCGTGTTAGTTTCCGTGTGAAGGAATCATCACTATTCTCGTACAATGGGGTAGGGGAGCGAAATGCGAGGACTCACTCGTCAACGAGCCAAACGTCAAAAAGGTGTAGAACGGAATCGTAAAGAAGGCATTTCGCACAGCATTCGCCTTGGTCAAGACGAATCTCTTTGTCACCAGAAACATCACCGCCCCGAGCGCCCCGCTCAACCCCGGCGCAACAACCCACGCCGCAAACACCTGCGACACCCCGTCCCACCCCCAACTAACTTTCGAGATACCCACGCTCGCGGTCGCGGCGCCAACAAGTCCACCAATGATGGAGTGCGTCGTGCTGACGGGCAAGCCGTTGCGCGTAGCGATGCTAAGGAAGACGGAGGAGCCGAAGATGGCGCACATCATGACGAGCAAAAGGACGCTAGGTTGGGCGGCGTAGAGGTACGGGTCGATGATCTTGTTACGGAGAGTGTCTGTCACACGGGAACCGACGGCTACGGAGCCGGAGAACTCGGCGACGGCAGCAATGGCCATTGCTTGTTTCATTGTGAGGGAGCGGGAGGAGACAGACGTCGCGAATGAGTTTGCGACGTCATTTGCGCCTGGATTTCGCATGGTCAGTTGTATGTGTACGGGCAGCTCCATCGAAGTTCTGCAGCAGGTCTATTCTAGCACAACCTGGTGAGACATACCAATGTTCCAAGCATCGAGAAAGGAGAAGATGGTGGTGATGGCGAAGACGTAGTCATATTGATGCAGTGCGGCGGCCATGATAGCTCGCCGGGCTTTAGTCTTCAGTGGTACGCTCTTGGAAGCGATAAAAGCTTAGATGGTCTCAGATCAAACACTCAGATGGCCGATGAAGTCTCGACGTCGGCTCCCGCTTCTTCGGCGGATCCCGGTCTTCCAGACATGTTGTGCTAATTCGATCTCATGCTCGTCGATGATGATGATGCTAGTCTTGATAGCTGATCAGGAGGCGGTATTGATCTGAGACAGAACTGTTCCGTGCTAGTAGGAGAAGAATGAAGTCTGGGTTTTGATCAATCATTGTGGAAGTCGTTGCGTACCGCCGGCCTGGGTCAGATGGTTATATGGGTTCGCCCTGCCGTAGACCGAGATTGAAACGGGACTGGGGCCCTATCGCATCATTCGACATGGGAACCAGGGCAAAGACTGTGTGCCTGGCCTGCTTCAGGACGAGCTTTTAGAGGTTACATGTATGCAGTAGCTCTTAGGTTTTGCAGGGGACGCTGGCTCTGGCTAGAAGCCGTACATCGAATGTGGTCGAGGTTTCTGGCCAAGGTCTGGGCCACGAGGCGGGGGAGACGTCAACGACAGGGCGGATGGGGACTCTGGTGTGGCATCTCCTCCAACACCATCTTCGAGATAGTTAGCCAGGGGTTTGAGACGGCCGAAGCTTGCGGATGCGATGATGTGCTCGGGATGCACCTCGTTGCGGACACCGATGGATATGCAGCCCATCAGACCCCCACGAACTCTGATTCTGGTCATTCTACATTTCGAAAGTCAGCATGGCATAAGGCCAGCGCGAACATGCTGTGTTTGTGTGTATGTAAGCTGCAAAAATGAAGGCGGCAACTAGCCGCTCGTTGAAAATGGGCGGAAGGAGCTGCGGAGCTAAAGATGGGTGCTTGGCGACGTTGAACTGGGTAGCCAATCTACGGCCGAGATTGGAGCACGGTGTTCAATGGTTTGAGGAGGCCAAGTCCCACCACCAACATGGCCTGTAGATGTTGTGTTCTTCACAATCATACACATTGTTCCCCTTTCTGTTGCTGGTCTCTCCTTTGTCCTACAATGCCGGTTCTGCAACCGTCGGGTCTTGTGGATACTCAATCGCCTATGTACGCGAAATTCGGCTACAGTAGGCAGTGTAAAGCTGCTGTTACCACACTAAGATATTAACCTACTATGCAGTAGAGTAAGATATGGTTCAAAAGGTGGGTAGGTATCTTAGGCATGAGGTGTCGACCCAACCTGGAAGGCATTCAGCAAACTCAAAATCATGACAAATTCCAGGTCTTGTATAATTTTGTGCTCTATAGTAGGAATAATTTTATAGGATCAGACCATTGATTCAATATTAACTATCCAACAAGTTTGTATTATTTTCTTTTTAACGACTTGCTTTAGTGTTCCTACCGGTATTACCTATAGTGGCAATTGCGGTCCCTACAACGTCTACTTCTTCTAGGCAAGACCTCATTTTAGCGTCTCGTAAGGGCTTCGTTATTATGAGTATATGCTTTACCCTCAACTTAGAGAATAAGAAGAAGGGGGCTGACTATAAATGAACAATATACCCAGTTCATCGACGTCACGCCTTGCGAGGCTCATACCGTGCCTACTGAGAAGGTCGCTGGTGGTGCTAGCGCTCAAGGACTGTGCTACTCCATGGCGTACCACGGATGCGGCGGCCGTGTGACTGTTTCCAACCCTATGATCCGTTGCCCCAATGGCTACTCAATGTTGTGCAAAACTGGGCAGAACGCGGCGGTGGTGATGGTGTAACCGCAACTCTGCTCTGTGTGGCCGGTCCTTCATTTATCTTTCTCGCTATTCAGCTATTTGTTCTCGCAAACAATTACCGAAATTTTGGCACCTTATCTGGCTTCTATATTGACTTCTGCGTTGTTCTCGAGCTAAATCTTGATACTCATTCCTAACAGGACGACTTATGAATCATCGTGGTCAATACTTTTCCCTTAGGCCAAGGCCAAGATAAAACGCCATCAGTGACTTTTCGGCGCACTTGTCCAGAAATACGCCAGAGTATCCTCGGTTGTGTATGATTCTGGGTCGTATTTGAGTTCAGAAAGAAGGGGACTTCGTCAATCGGTCGCCTGTTGCTAAATCTACGCACAACTAATTGATTCAGGGTGGTTTCGGTCATCATCCCACCGGATTTGATGTTGTTTCGATTGATGCCAAATCCACATTCCGCGCAAGGCTGACTGCAGGTGTCTGGTCTCCTGAACTCTATTGTACAGCGCTACTGTCGGTCATATCCGTTCCAATTTATTTGGATCCTAGGTCTGACTCGCAGTTCCATTGTTATTTAAACATAACATGACTCCTCATAGGCTCACATGTTGCTATTTCAACTACACTCCCGGCCCATATCTTTAGGTTATTTTATATTTCAGACATTGCTCGACTTTCAGCACCAATAGCAAGTTTCTTAATCAAAGGTCTGATTGTATCGCACTTGCTCGAAGACTCGTAACCTCACATTTCAAACCCAAAATGCGCTTTCTTATCTTTGTTGCCCACGCAGGCCTTGCAATTGCCGCTACGGCCCCAGGCTGCCATTTTTGGTTCAGAGAAATTTCTACGGGCCAGAATGTCGGTCAAGGCTGCGTCGGAAAGGGCTGGACAACTTATCCTTGGGCAGCTAAAGCCCGCGTCGGTGTCACGGCGGACCAGTCATGCAATCTCAAGACAGAGAGCACCACATACGCTGCTCAGTTCGATGGCGAATGCATCGCAACTGTACAAGGCAAATAAAATACAGTCTGGTGAGTAAATAAAATATCAGAACTATCTTTGGCTGGCGCTGAGACGTCATGATTCAGCATCCAAACAACGAAGAAAAATGACCCCCGTAAAGGAACGTTTGAATGGCGATGAGGGTGGATAGTTGAGGGTTGCGAGTCATGATCATGCTTCATATGGCAAAGTGTAGAGTCACACTCTTCACTAGGTCTCTTGTTCACGTCGACAATGTACTGCATGCCTTGCAAAGTAGTGACAGTTGGAATAGCAAACAATATGGTTAATGATTGAAGTTGTGAGATAGTGTATTGTTAGTTATAATGGTAACGAGCAAACGATTATCATTAGAGACGTCAATCGTCTTGGTAAGCACCAGCATTCACACCTCAAAACCCTGTGCTCGATTAGAAAAGAGAATAACGGATAGAATTCAGAATTGAGTATAAGCTACATTCTGTCAGACCCATCCCCTTACACCCGTTATAATAATTATCATACTATACTTATAAGATAATGTAGTCTTGTGTAAGCATAACCGAGGTTGTTAAAGATATGCTAGTATAAGAGTTGTTTTTTTCATTTATTATATAAATAGTCGGTATATTCCCGTAGCTACTTACTTCCTGCAATTATTGACATATCCCTACTAAACCCTTATTTGATAAACGCTGCTTAATAGAGCGAATCAATATGGTAATTAACGCATTATGGATAATGTAAGAACGAATCTAATATTGCCCTAGTCTACCTAAGGTGTCGAGACGGGTCCTGTGACATCAAGCCCCTGCGAACTTTACGATCACTAAGTTCGGGACGGATTTGGCTAGTGTTATCGCTGAAATTGATATGAGTGTGAACAGTGTGAGAATTTGTTCATTAGGACTTTTGTCACAGAACAAATGATTTCTTTCTTCGTATTCATATAAAAAGGTTCATATCGAAACTTGATTATAGTTAAATAAAGAAAGATTGAGTTTTCTTGTTCTTTCCCGGCATCGCTTGAACTCGTCCATGATGGAGACAGAAGAATATTATATAGTACGAGCAATTTCACTAATGAGAATCTCCTTCGCACCAGATCGAAGACCATACAAGTATTGACTATACAACAAGACAACATGCAGCTGAACGCTTTGCTATACGCCGCTTTGCTCCCGTCGGTTGCCATTGCGGTAAGAGACCCCGATTACAGGCTTATTTCGCAATCTCACACGAGCACAGTGCAAACCGTGGAAGCGCATCCCTGGCGAGGGATGTTGCTTCAAAGATGTTGGCACTTGTGTCTATTGGCTGGTAAGTCGGAAAGCTCGTTTTTTAGCTCAAGATAGTACGCTGATAGAACAAGGGTATATATGGAGGCTGCCAAAGCAACAACCCTCCTCCACTTTGCAGTGCCGAAGTGAAGGCCAAGTGCGTAAGTAGCATGCTGGCTACGCAGTACCAACACCCATGATAACTAACTCAACTCAGTCGGCAGATTGTTGTCGTACAGATGGCCAAAAGAACCAGAATGGTGGAATTTACGGCGACAAATGCGGTTAGGTGGGTAGATGACCAGCCAAACCCTTATAGAGCGGGCAAATCTGCGTGTGAAGAAGTAGGATGGGTTTCATAGGTCGGACATATAGTAGCTTCGCTTTGATCTCTCCTCTCGAAAATGTGCCAGTCGGACTCGATTCGCTAAGCACAACACTCTTACCTCTTCGATTCGTCCGATTACTAAGTATGAGAGCTCCCGCACAGCCGCAGACATTGTCATACATTGAAGGGGCTACAATGCCTCTTCTCAGAGGGGGTGACGGGGGACCAGTTTATCTGTAATATGTAGTGTTTTGCGGCACCGATCGTAGCATGCCTATTGTCTGGGGGCTTTCTCTGTATACCTAGAAGGTGGTATCGTTCTGTGAGACTGATTTTTGAAAACCAGGAAGGGTGGCGTAGTAAGAAACGAAAAGTCCATTTCTACGTTCCTCATACCGGAGATGGATCACTTCTCGGAATCAATGAGAATTAGCAGTCAAACGCATAGAAAAGTGATAATGTTACAGTAGCCATGGTAACTTCCCCAGTTTTGTACTGCATCGGGATTTCTAAATTACCATTTTGAGTTGAGCGCGAGCTTGAAGCACAACGTGGACATCGTGTAATCAGACTATTTTCCGTACCTGATGAGTCGTTTTCCTTGATAGCCAGACCCTGTCGTTTAGAACAGTCTTATGGGTCTACAAACCCGGAATAAACCCACTAGACCACGTTGTACCAACCATGACTTCTCTATCTACGTCCCAACGTGACTAGGAAGTCTTCCTAAGTAGGTGGGCTGTATCTGTGTGCTCTTGTTAGCCGGCTTTGGCTAGTATATGCGAGTTAGGGTCGCTGATGTTGGTGCGAAAACCCTTCCCAATGTGCCGGGAGCAAAAGGGGCTTCGAGACTCATCGCGTCTCGGGGTTACCACAAATCCGGATTCAATTCCCTTGAAAGGTTGGCCATCTCCTACTATCACACCGGGTGCAAGTGGACTATAGCAAATTCATCTCTAGTTTTTCCTAACTCATGCCTTGGTTGACTTCATGCTTCGCAGGAACAACTGAACTAGGATCGAATCGTCATACTTACCAACCAACTCCAATATGCCATCGACATGAGTACATCTACTTTCACAAGGATTATTTACCTCATAGTCGAGCATGAACAATCTTGAAAAAGAGCCTAACTAGAGAAATATTCAAGGCGGATGTGCCAAAGCTGCCAAGCAAGTGATGGGATATCATTCGCCAGTAAAAGTACTTTCGCAAACGCGGACTGTTCAACTTGAACCCGATGGGAAACTGCTCGCCCTTCGGCGTTATCGTGATGACCGGCTTCATAATGTCGCGCTTACTGACGATCCGATGGTCTTGTTGTCCGACGTAACAGTAAGTTGCCTATGGTCATCTTTTGATAAGCCTCTTTGCGTAATTGCGTACTCATAGGTGATGATAAAGAAGCTAACTCTCTTCAACAAGCTCTTGATCTCAACCTTCACCAAATAAATTGACGAATCCGGTTTCAATCCGCGACGCCATGTTCCGAGCATCTACCTATTACAGAGCTACCGATTTCTACCTGCACGGCGACTAGGAAGATCTTTGCATACTATCTTCTTGCGACAAGCAGACGTCGTGTCTTGACCAGGCGAACTCTCGGTTGCCTATTCCTGGTTATAGGCGCATGGTCAAGGAACCGAGCTTCGACATATCCGTCATCTTCTTCCCGGTATGTAGGTCTGCCGACAAGAAGTTGCCGACCATCGTCCTGGGTAATGGCTACGATGGCTCAATAGAAGAAATGCACCACCAGTATGGCGCCGGAATTCTAGAGCGTGGTTGGAATGTGCTATGCTACGACGGCCCAGGACAGATCTGTGCACGCCGTTATCAAAGAATCGGTTTCACCCACAAGTGGGAAACAGTCGTCTCCCCTGTTCTGGACTTCCTGGAGACTCTACCAATCGTCAATATGAAGTAGGTTGGGATTGTCGGAAACTCGATGGCAGAATTACTTGCCGCCCGCGCTGCTGCTTTCGCCCACCGCATTGCTGCGGTATTTAGTATCGATGGATTATACAATCTTATGGGTATCCCCGTCTTGGGTGCCGAGAAGGGCCTGGCTCGATACTCGGGAGTCCAGGACTTTGCTGCAGCAGAGAAAGTCTTCACGGACCCGGGTGTCCCAACGACAGCTCGCTGGCCCCTGTCTCATGGCTTATGGGCTTTCAAAGTTCGAACCGCGGCAGAGTACCTGGACAATGCTTCATATTTCAGCTTGAAAGGTATAGCCGACAAAATTTAGTGTCCTGTATTTTGTTGCTGATGCCGCGGACGATTACCTTTTCAAAGGACAACCTGAGGCAATGCGGGATGCTTGGGGTGACAAAGCCCACTAGGTTGTAACCACGGTAGACGACGCGTTAGGCGACCATTGCCATGTGGGTGCTGCAAGGTATACTAAGTAGGTCAGGTTTGACTGATTTGAGCAGAAGATCATCAAGAACTAGGTCAAGATGGGCTTTCATTAGCCCTATGGCGAAGAGTTATCGACTGTCAGCCTAGCCAAAATGCAGACGAGGCGACGTCTCTGAGTCCCTTTGACAGGGAATTCTGTCAATGTTGTTTGGTTTCTTCCTAGTAGCTTTAACCTTGTTGGCTGCAACACGGAGATTTTCATGTTAGGTGGTAATCGCACGGTTCATATGCGGTGATGCATTTCTTGAGATCTGTTAGATTCATGGTCCGGACCCCCCCCCCTCCCCCGGCCCCCAAAACCCTTTCCTTGGAACTAAGGACCTTCCCACCTATTGGTCAGAAAGACTAGAAGTGAGTCTATACAATCGCTTTTTTTCGAAGAAATGTACTTGATTTCCGAATCCAATGCATTTGGCAGCAAAACGCAAAGATGAGCTGAGCTTCTGACTGCCTACTAGAGTCCTACCCACCTCGGGTATGGAGATCAAATGTGCTGTATAAAAGTTCCAGATGTATCAGACCAGCCTCTGGGTGTCTCTATTCCACAGCACCATCAAGGTCCTTCTTCATTCCAGCCCTTGCTATAAAGGTGCGATATGAAACCCGTGTGTGGCCTCCCAGCCCGCTGAAGCTAACTAACGATGCCCTCAAAATCACTCACGATACTTTGAGAAAAACCCGGTATCAAATGACTCACATATTTATTCTTCCTCTGGGGCGAAACGGTCAAGAAAGAAGTTTCAGGCCACACGGCTAACTTTCACCCTATGGAAATTCTTCATTTACCTTGACGGCTTTCGAACATGAAGGTACTGGGGTATACAGTTGCGGTCTAAGCCGGCTGTTACGATCTAAGGGTACATACATCGTCGACTGCTATCTCCGATATAAAGGACTTGAAGGACCTTGACTGCCACAATGCCTCAACCAAATCACTTCAAAACTTTCTTCCTCCTAGGATTGGGAATAAAAGCCAGCCCATCCCCTGCTTCTTTTTCCTTTTCTTCTGCAGGCTCACCTCAAGCAAACACAATCCACTCTCTACTCTTCATCTCATTCTCAGTTGGCTACTGCGGCGATTCACTCACTTTCCACTTCCGCCTATCTCATCTCATATCTCTGGCTCCTATACAAAAAGACCCGAGATTGTCTTAGCTGCGGCTCTTTTCTCTTTACAACCCACCTTAACTTCTATTGCCATAATCAACATGCCTTCCATCGGAGCTACTATTTCCTCTGCCTCAAGGGCTCAGGGGGACACAACAACCACTCTCCGTCGCATGCCGCTTAGCAATGTCCCTGTTTTCAACGAAGACAGCGCTTTTCATGATGAGCAGCAGCCTTTCAGTAGCGACGACTTCACTATCTTTTGTGATGACGGAGACAGCGGCGCTTCTGTGGACCAACGATCTACCAGTAGTGGAGGCTTCGCCATCTTCGGTGATGATGAAGACAACACTATGTCTGAGGAGCAACAACCTTTCAGCAACGATGACTTTACCATCTTCTGTGATGAGTCTGAAGAGAAATTCCGTCCAGCCAATGGGGACATCAACATCGGCTTCGAAGATGGATCGAGGTACACAATCCCAGAACTGCAAGGTACCGTCGGCGTTCTCCAAGAGCGACACCCCAACATCATGGGCAGAGCAATCGACCACAACAGACACTACGGTCGACTACCCGCCACCATGACCAAAGAGCATGCGTCTGGCAACAGGGAAGTCTCTGCATCCCTTCATTATCTCCATCCAAACCCCGAACAGGGTGCCCCAGGCCGACACCTCACTCCCGAGCAAGTCGAACGCTCGGCTCGCATGCTCGCATTGGACGACGCCATCGACCAACTTCACGATCCCCTCATCTACGAGGACCGACAGATTCTTCGCCGAATTGTGCGGCTGCTGGACATGCGTCGCCAAGAGCTCTTGAGGTACCGCATCAGCGTCGACGAGAACTCGCCGGAGGTTGAGCTGCCTGAGACCGTTGACGACATTGAAGACCTTGCGATGCAAGCCAGTGTCAGTTTCGATTACCAGTTTGTTCTCCACGCTATTGAAGCCATAGACGCTCTCGCTCAGAGTGTCTGGTTCTGCAATGATGAAGAACAGGAGTCGAACAAGGAGAATATTCCTCCTGAGCTCATGATGATGTAGAGCATGAAGGCCTGCTGAGGAGGGCAAGCAACACAAGGAAACAGAGCCAGGTGCTCAAGCCCTACAATTCTTGGTGACTACGGGACACAGCAGTCTCATGATATGACGACGAGCATATGAGATACGAGCAATGAGACATGACTAGATGATTAGACGGGGGTTTTGCATCAGGCAACTGGGATCGCTTGGAGTATTGGAGCATTGCATCGGCGTTTGGTCATTACAAAATTTTGATTTCATAGACGCATAATTCTACTGGTTGCACCTTGAATACGACAAGTTGTATATGAACAGGCTGAAAAAAGTGATTGTGTGTCTGAGTTATCAAGTGAACGAGGGAGGTGAAGTTGAAGATTCAGCTTGTGAGACATTCACTGAATGAAGAGTGAGTACGTATCTTTGGCAGGGTCCAAGCGCTGTTTCCCCTGAGGACCCCGCACTAAGCCTCTTCAGGCAAAGACCGCAGGTAATCCCATCCTGGAAATTGATGCTAATTATTGTTTGCCTATTGTTTTGTGAGGGGACGAGCTTCGCAACCCCGCCAAGTTATCACCAACTCCATCCCAGTGTTCTTGTCCGCAGAGATTCGAACCTCCGGGAGTCAACGCAGTTCCAAGTACTGATTATTCTTTGTGATACCCCAAGTCTTTATTCTTTTCCACAAGGTATGAGTTCTCTTTGCCTCTCAATGCATCCCAATATCACCTCATTTAATTTTGCCCCGCCTTGGATTTCACTGACCGCCTCTAGCAGACCGCAGACTCGATTGCAATATGTCAGACAACAAGGTCTATCGTGCCAGCACCACGGCACCTGTCAACATTGCCGTTGTCAAGTGTGTTATACCAAGCTGCAGATGTGTATTCAAAATGTCTCAATACTGACAAACGTAGGTACTGGGGTAAGCGCGACCCGAAGCTCAACCTCCCCACCAACAGCTCCCTCTCCGTCACCCTCTCCCAAGCCGACCTCCGAACCCTGACGACGGCATCCTGCTCCGCCTCCTATCCCGAAGGCGACAGCCTCATCCTCAACGGCGAAGCCTCCGATGTCTCGGGTGCCCGCACACAGGCCTGCTTCCGCGAGCTACGCGCCCGCCGCGCCGCCCTCGAGGACAAGACCCCTTCTCTCCCGAAGCTCTCCAAGCTGCCCCTGAAGATCGTCACCGAGAACAACTTCCCCACCGCCGCCGGACTCGCCTCCTCGGCCGCCGGCTTCGCCGCCCTCGTCCGCGCCATCGCCGACCTCTACGAGCTCCCCGAGTCCCCCTCCGAGCTGTCCCTCATCGCGAGACAGGGTTCCGGCTCCGCGTGCCGCAGTCTGTTTGGCGGATACGTCGCGTGGAGGATGGGCGACAAGGCGGACGGCACGGACTCCAAGGCTGACCTTGTCGCCGAGGCGTCGCACTGGCCCGAGATGCGCGCCCTGATCCTAGTCGTCAGCGCGGCCAAGAAGGGCGTCTCGTCGACTTCGGGTATGCAGCAGACGGTCGCGACGTCGGGTCTCTTCAAGCAGCGCGTCGCCGAGGTCGTGCCGAAGCACATGGGTGAGATGGAGGAGGCTATTGCCAAGCGCGACTTCGAAAAGTTTGCCGAAGTCACCATGCGCGACTCCAACTCGTTCCACTCCTCGTGCGCGGATACCTACCCTCCCATCTTTTACATGAACGACGTCTCGCGCGCCGCCATTCGCGCCGTGGAGCAGATCAACGCTGCTGCTGGAAAGACTATTGCTGCGTACACCTTTGACGCCGGCCCGAACGCTGTCATCTACTACCTCGAGGAGAACGCTGCTGCTGTCGTTGGTGCTTTCTCCCCTATCTTGGGATCCGTCGGTGGATGGAAGGAGGGCGCCAAGGATCTCAAGTCCTCTGTGGCCTTGGACGAGACTGTTGCTGGTATCATCCAGAGCGGTGTCAGCCGTGTTATCCAGACTGGCGTTGGTGAGGGCCCGATTAAGTCGGATATTTACCTTGTTGGCGAGGATGGTGAGCCGGTTAAGCGATGATCTGTTTAGTCCATTTTTGGCGGCATCTAAACAAGCTTCAAGTTGCTCAAAAGTTCTCTTTGTGCGTATAGAAACACCTAATTAAATACCATTTCGAATTCCTGCTAGTATTGGCGACTGTGTCGTCAGTGAGACACAGACAATAGTGAATATCTCATGGGTACTCTCTCGCGATTCTAAGTGGCATGTGTCGCCAGCTTTGAGTATGCCAGCCGAGCATGGCACAGAGTCTCCAAGCATCTGGACAGGAATAAAATCAAGAACCGGGATTGCAAGAACATCAGCTCGAACTCAGCGCCTTTGAGAGCTTATTTCAGAGAAATTGCTGGTTGACGTATCGCAAGGCAGCATTTCCTCGTCCTGAAAGTTCTCCCTTTTGCTTTCAAGGTCGGACCCACTTTTCTCATTCAACCTCACTCCTGCCTTCCTGCCACATCGCTCTTTCCTTGGCCATCCCTCTGCGAGATACCTCAAACGAACAACAAACCAGAAAAAGGATGGCAGGAGCCGAGGAGAAAGAAGTCCTCATTGAGGAAAGAGATGGAACCGGAAGAATTACCCACCGCTGGCTGCACAATACTGCCTCACAAAAAATAACACTTGCGCACCAGTCTCACCAAAACACCATCCCGACTCTCACCACGGCCCTCGCAACCTCAACGAC